AAAAATAACAAAAAATTTGATTGCGTGAACACATTTCCCACGGCATAGCATTCATGACACATGAGGCATTCTGATTTAGTTCATGCATGCACGATAGGAAATCACATGGTTGTAAGCAGAGGTTCCCTCTCAACTTTCACCAAGCAGAAAGAGAAGGGAACCTCTGTCTTGCAGGGTCTCTACCTTGCTCCATGGTTCACTGAATTTTAATACCTTGAGCTTTGATCACATATTTTACATAAATCCTGATCTGAACTGACCTCTGAACATTACAAATTCCAAAATGCTTTACTTGGGGTAAGATAAGCTTAAATAGTATATCTTACGGGTAAATTACATGTATAAAGACTCATTGATTCTGCATGTGTATTTCTCAGACAAAACGGATGGAACCCACAAGTCATATGACCATGATACCAAATTGATTCAGTGTGGATTTCCGCCAAGACAATCGCTCACAGGAAGTGAGCTTTATGACGAAACTCGATTCTTGGTAATTAGCTTTCAAAGTGGTCAATTTTACCTGCAACGGCGTGTTCCCGTTATCGTCTTTACACTTCGTCTCCGCACCATGTTTTAACAAGAGCAAAACAATGTCTTGATGTCCTCGAAATGCAGCTTCGTGGAGTGGTGTTACCCCCTGTTCATTTCTTGTGCTCACATCGGACTGATTTCCTCCAGTCAACAAACCCGACACTAAATTAAGATTCCCCTCTGCACACGCAAGATGAAGAGGAGTTGTCACTCCATGTTTTCTACATGACGTAGGGGGCGGATTCCCCTTGCAAAACTGCGAAAGTCTGATCGGGAGACCGTCTGCCTGTTCTTTGTAGTACTCAATCAGCGAATCCAGCCCTTCAAAAATGGGACCATCATCGATAGAATAATAAATACCTCCTCGACACTGTATCTGGAAATGAAGCGCTTGATTCGCATGCCATAACGACAACACAAAGTTGTCTTCAGCCCCAGCTTTGTTTCTCACAAGGAATAGCCCCTCTTTCCGTCCATTTTGGAGCAAGATGTCGATGGCTTGATCACGGGTGATCCGTCCGTGATACCAGCTACAGTCGTTCAGAGTGACGGACATGTTTCGCTCTGTTCCAACCATTTAGGAGCGGGGTCATTCCATGTGTACGAATTTCCGGCATTGAATATATTGGTAGCTCATGAACATCGCATATTAGCAAACCGGACGAAGAAAGATTTGTCCTCATTCATTCGACACTCGATGTTCATAGAAACGAGGTTGGGTTACATATTGTTTTCGATGAGTCGACGACGAATTTGCGCGATCTGGGGGTACTCCACGGGAATAATTGGTCTCAGATTGGATGACTAAATGTGAGTGAATGAAGCGTAAATGATGGTAACAACAGTGTTTGGGAGTTCATGGCCGTCATGTCAGCAATCCTTAAATTTCTGATCCCTCATCCCCTCCCCTCCCCTCCCCTCCCCAGTCACCATCACCCATTCTGCTAGAATTTTTTGAGATTCCTCAGACATCTAGTTAGACTTCATGACTCTTTGTAAAGAAGTATAAGCTAAAAAAATTCTTTGTCCTAAAAAGTTGTTACGCGAGAAATAAGTCTTAAAGCGTACTTCAACCAGGTTTATCCCGCTCCTCCAAGGGCCCTCCAAGTTAATGTCGGTAGCACGAATCAGCGGTATCTGAGAAAGGGAATGCGTGGCTTAATAATCGTTACCATGGAAACCGAGTTAAATCAAAATGGTGGACAAACTTGAATGATAGGGTTTTTTGCCAAAAGCAGCGAACGATAACCTTTTCAGTCTGTCATTTCAAGCACGATGTCCTCTGCAGGTACAGCAAAGAAACCTGCACCAATCATCCGTACAGTGGTTCCTGGAAATCGAACGCTTGAGGAAATTTACGAAGAAGAGGCTCGTGAGATCGTAGACGAAGCAATTGATAATGCGCGGCGAAGATTGTCGGTGTACGCCAGTGGGGCAAAGGAATCAGACGTTCCTGATGTTAAAGATGATGAACCCACAATAGATCCTGAGACGGGATATGAGATACCCAATATCAAATGGATGACTTCTGAAAACTTTACAGTCGCTGGAGGGTTAGAAAAGATTGAGGAATTTATCCAGGTAAGTTAATCAATGAGATAGGAAATGGAATAAACTTAAGCGTATCCGTACCTATTACAATTTATGACAGGTTAAAACTAAACATAAGAAAAGAAAATGAGGAAAAATGTATATATCTAAAAAGAATATATTTAAAATAGAAGTAGTCATTGGAGGCCCGCAAGTGTCCAAGACCCCATACGGCCATACTAGGCGAGTCACCACAAATCATAAGTTATACATGAGATGATAATAAATAATAATGATAAAAAGGATAGCTTAATAGAAATTAACCTCGAAATCATAATAATCCAATTTACAGTATATACTATCCTGAAAAGTTAATCGCATTTCTTCTATCAAAACTAAATAGCCGAGGAGACTAGCAGTAGTTACCAAGCAAGTTAAACATACTATAGTAAGGTGAAATGATGGGTCTCTCTTCAGTGTATAAAATGTATTTGAAAATGTTAAAGTAGTTATGTGAAGCGAAAATTAAGGCATTTTTTGGGCATCTTTTTTTAACACTCACCTATACATNTAAGGCATTTTTTGGACATCTTTTTTTAACACTCACCTATGCATGCTATGTGTAACTGTGTACCTGCTTTATTAATTCAGGCCCCATATATATGGTCTCAGGTACCCGAGACAACTCTCCCCCCGAGTTACCCTGGCCGAGGTAACTTTACACATATTTTTTTGCAAAATCAACCAATCGGATTGTGAACCCGTCTCGGGGGCGAGACAACTTGGGTGGGTGAGTTGTCTCACCTCGGCAGATGGGGTAACCCTAGCAAGCAGGACTGTCAACTTCTCTTCATGTAAACACTTTGGTTCGCCTAACCAGGACAACTCTTGGTGTGGCAAGTGTCATGTAATGCCTAGATTTAGGATTCAAAGAAGAAATTTGTATCAAAGAAGTGAAAATTAACTCGGCAAAACCCACCGTGACTGAGTGAAACTCAAAGAAAGAGGGATATCTGTACATTTGATAATTCAATAAGGATTATGAATAATCATGCAGGGTCAACTTTGATTTGACCTACAGGGACTATGTTTTCACGTATAAGCGCTCGACAAAGTTGCCTTAGGGGGAGGGTTGTCTTGGGTACCCAAGACCATATAACTGGGGCCTAAGTTGACACTTCTAGACAGGCAGGGCGGTCAATAAGGGCCGTAACCTGTAGCACCTGTTATGGCTGAACATGCATGCTTGATGGACTCTTGATGCTATGGGTGAACTTGCCTGAAGTTGATACAATTCGCCTATGAAGTAACAAGATTGTTATGGGTTTGAAGATCAAGGCTAGAGGTGAATCAGAACTTAATGACAGTCCTGGAAAGGTATTTCTTAGAGGAAATTTCAGTATAGAATCCCTTGCTGAAGATGTAAACTTGACAAATTATATAACAGACTAGCATACCATCCAGGGAATAAGAAATAGTTAATATATACTGTATGCATAAATGACTATGGAAAAATGAAGCTTTATCAACCATGTTGCAGACATGGGAGCGTGACAAGTGCTGGTTGTACTGCATTGACTTCTTGAGAGAAGAGGAACACCCTTACAGTTGGCGATATCGCTATGCTGTCAAGTGGAGTATACCAACCAGGAGAAGACCCATTCCAAGAGCAACTGCTTCAGTTTACTTCACTCTTGAAGTTAGCAAATTTAAGCCTAAGGTATGATATTAAATTTATTGAATGATTTCAACAAGGAAGGACGGGTTGTGGTCCCAGTAGCTAACATGAAAAATATTTGTATGACCTCCTACCTCTTTTAATTACCTTTTTGCTTGACACAGTGAAGAGAAATTAGTGCTGGATCAATTATTTTGTCTCCTGTTTCAGACTTTTCCAGTTGAAGTTTACTATATTTTTGAGACGCACCGTCTTGTCCACAGGTATGTGTGAACAAAAATCTTGACTGTCTACATTCTCTCAGATTTGCATTAAAGGTATTTGAACCATCCATACCCATACATGTTCCTATTTCTCTGCAGAAGAAGATTCCTCAGCTCAAATCTTGAGTAACCCTGTGCTTATTTCTTCCTTATTGTCAGGCCTGGTAAAACAAGGTTTCGTGAAAAGTGGTTAAAGGATGTCATAGAAAGCAAGATTCGACTGATGGACTCAGTGAAATTCTAATCCAGTGGTTAGAAACTCTGCAGTTCATTACATGTAGCAGTGTGGAAATACTATATGGTAAAAGTTTACAGAAAACCAGAATTTTGAGATGAACAGCGAATTAGAAGTCTTTAGTTTCCTTGATAAGCTGAGCAAAAACTCATTGCTTGAAAATAAATCTGCCCAGAAACAGTTGTAATCCATACCAAGTGAGACACGCTTGTAACATACTGAATTATATTTTAGTTTAGGTTTCATAAAGCGGTTTTTGGGCATCAAACAGACACAGTTAGCTGTTTCGAGTTTGAGAATCAGGATTTATAATACATAAGATCAAGAATAGAATGTGCGTAATGTGATGTACATAGATCTTCAGAAAAAGCTAAAACGTAGTGTTCAATTGCGGTTTGTTGATCTCTTTCTTGATTTGTTGAATCACAAGCTTTCATTTTAAAACTTGATCTTATTCAGATGTAGCATCTAAACGGCATCAAATCTCTTCTACCAACAATTTCTGGAATAAACCTCTCCCAAGTGCAGTATACCTACTCTACCTAAATATCTGAAACAAGATAGTTCAATGTTTTCTTTAATAGCAGAGTAAAGAACAATATTTACTGTAAATAACGTGTTAAGTGTACCCGTAGCAGATCTATCTTAGAATCACAGGAAGCATAACGTGGGCCAGAATAGCTGGCTTTTTTTAGAACCATAAATTGTCTCCAGTTCTCTGTGGTTCTCAAGTTTTTCACACTCGTCATCCAAGTTGAAACAAAAGTCGTACCAACAAAGAAGAATTAAAACATCACCACTGGACAGTTGACAAAAAGGCAACACTCATAGTGAAGATACTCCCGTATTTTGCTTATTTCTACGGGTCGATGCATGTCGGCAGGACCGTGTTTAAAACCTTGTTAATAACTCTGTTACAAAATACATATTATATGAAATTCCCATGTGTAAAATAACAACTGCAATAAATTTATTTCCTATCAAACAATTTAAGAGTTACGCGTTTGTTCCACCCAGTATCTTCCCTTCTTTCCGAGTCCACTAGGTGTTGTATCAACACGAGACTTAAAATGACCTCTACAAAACTGACCCTGCAAACCAAACTCGATCTCTATATACACACAGCACTCATCAATGTCCACAGAGAATTCGATGCCCACCCAAAGTCTCAATACCTGGATGAAGCTTGATGCTAAGACAAGATATAAACCTCAATGCCCACACAAGCTCGATGGCCACGCAAAATTCGATATCTACACAAAACGTGCTGAGTCACACTTGACTCATTAACCTTTTCCCTTGTAAACACTCCAGGTAGGTTTAACCTGCCTACCCGGGTTAACTTTCTAATTGTTTCCAGACCCTTTGAGTGTAACCGCGCATTAAGTTGTCCCGGGTTGTAGGGTTGCGCTACCTGTAAAATTTTGCTTGTAAACCCGGGCTGTCTTTTGCCCTACAGCTAGGGTTAACCCGCTTGATAGGGTAACCCTCCCTCCTTGTAAACAGGCCCTTAGTTTACATGACGCCTGATTACTTCGTAAACTTACAGGTTCACTTGGTTTCATTTTAGTGTCCACTTGCTTGTTCGCTTACTTTTTCATTTGGTTCATCCCCTGGTTCACGTGTTGAATCACTTGCCGATTCAATTTGTTCGGTTTTATTGCCGCAGGGCTCGCCAGCTGGTCAGCTGCTGTTTCACTTGGTTTCCTTGTTGGTTCACTTACTTCATTTGTACTTGACGTTTCATTTGTTTTAGTCACCGGTGCACTTGGGTCACTTCCTGGCTCACTTTGTGTTTACTTTCTCAACTTACTGATCTGATTCCTTCCCTTACTGTTTCATATGGTTCAATTGCTGGTTCAGTTGGTGAACTTGCTGGTTCACTTGGTCCACATGATTCGCTGGTTACTTGCTTCACTTTGGAGTTCCGTTACTGCACGTGCTGGTTCACCTTCCTTGCCGGTACAGTTGGTTCACTTACTGGCTCACTTCGTTCACTTGCTGATTCCTCTCTTTTAATTTGTTCATTGGGTGGTGCACCTTGTTCAGTTTTTTTAATCTTTTTATATGCTTGTTCACCTGGTTGACCTGCTGGTTCACTTCCTTTGCATGCTTACAGGTTCACTTGGATTACTTGCTAGTTTACTCGGGGTCGGTACATTTCGCTGACCCCCAGTCCATGGACTACCGCGATGGATTACCGAAATGGACTACCTAAATGGACTGCTAAATGGACTATCTACATGGACTACTAAATGGACTACCTATTCTGAACTACCTGAAAAAACAGAAATTCCAAAAAAAGAGTGCTTTTTTTTTTCAGAAAATCTGTAGGCGCGGACTGTTGGAAACAATTGGAATTTCTCTTTTTTTAGGTAGTCCGTATAGGTAAACCATTTGGGTAGGTAATTTAGGTAGTCCATTTCGGTAGTCCATCGTGGTAGTCCATGGACTGGGGGTCAGCGAAATGAACCGCCCCCTTCTCTTGGCTCACTTGCTGCTTCCCCAGGCCTTTTATCTTGCCGGTCCACGTGGATGATCCGCAGGTTTACCTGTTTCACTTAGTTCACATGCAGGCTCTCGTATCTCACTTGCTGGTTCAGTCGGTCCACTTGCTACTGACATGGAGGATATTACATGCCCGCGCGTGGATACGAATTTTATCTTCGAGTGTTAATTACTGTTTATTACATAAACATACTAATGACGACGTTTTTGACCATTTTCCGAAGATTTCCGACCACTTTCCGAAGATTTCCGAAGATTTTCCAAAATTGTTCCGAAGGCCAGACGAACGCTTCCGAACATTTTCAAAACATTTTCCGAAAATTACCGAAGATTGCCGAAGACGACCGAAGAAGATCCGAAGATGTTTCGATCATACATCAACAAATTTAAGTGTAGGGACAAAATAAAAATGTTATCAAGAAGGAATATCTTCACAGTGTGAAAGATAAAAATGGTATCTTCGCTGCGCGCGATGAAGATATGATTTTTTAGTAGAAGGAAAAATCCTGGTATTTCACCGGTGTTTATGTGATAAAATGTAATTCATTTGCGTCGCTTGCTGCCTCGCCTAATTGACATGACGGAGATAGCTGGCGCAATTGCCAGTTCAGGGGTTGACATGCAAGCTCGACTAGTTTGTTCACTTGCTCGTTCACTTTATTCACCTGCAGTGCTGGTTCACATAGTTCACTTGCTAATTCCCCTCGTTCACTTATTGTGCTTACGTACACGAAATTAGTCATAGAAGAAACCGTTACGGAACCCACGACATGGCAGACAGACGCGGGCCAATGGCAACATGCCTCTTACATAGAGCGGTTTTTATTTGAGTGCCGAAAATAATGTGCATTTGCTTTTGCTTTGCACTACTTCGCTAAGCGATTGGCTTAAAAAGTTCACGCCAACACCATAGCTGTCAACAGGCAGGGGTAATTTGTGGGGTGGTAAATGCCTATAATATCAACTCAAGGCTTCCCGATAGGCATACCGGGGTCAATTATTAT